CAGTCAACTACCACGCCAGATTTCTTGGCAGGTAGGTGGTTCGCCTTTGCAGTAGCGTGCCCTGCCAATGACGAATCGAGGCGCTCGCGCTTACATATGCAACGCCTCGACATAAGGGCCGGTCGGTAGAGCTTGGCCGGCGTATATACCTGCTACGGCCCCAAAGTACATGTGTATGTTAGGGCTACTGCATTCAAAGCGGATATCGTAGCGTTACCGAACCGCTGAGCGGGGCCCGACCTGGTCGAGAACCGCCGCCTACACGCTCCCAACGCTCCCGACCTTGGTCCATAGTGCAATTATCGTAATCCGTAGTCGCATTCAAGAAGGCGATTAACAGACTGAAATGCCGATATGGATTAATAGTGAGCTCATTTTCCCCCGGGCCAGGAATGGGTGGGGATTTTCCTGATCTGCCAACGCACAGGGAGTTCCTCTGGTCGCCGTCCAACTCCACCAATTCCCCAACGGACGGCCCTGATACCGCTGGTGCATAGAAGGCCTAGCACGCCGAGCCAATTTCTATTCCCCTGGCTACGCACGGCCACCTTGCCTGTTTACGTTTGTATCGGCTCCTTGTGCACACTTCCCCGTTGCTGCCACAGTTCCGCACATATCCACAGGGTGCTCGGCCGCCACCGTTCAGAAATGGGAGCAATATCCCACAAATAAGGGCGGGAAATGTCGCCAGAGTCGTCTGGTCAGCTGTGGCGTACTCACTCACTCAGATGCACGAGAAATTGGTTCTTGCAGAGGGCAATCCTTTTGTCACCTTTTTCAATTTCGGCGTGGTGGTTCAAATTGAGGATCGACGCGAGTGCACGCCTCCAAAAGTACTCGCCCCCAAACGATTGCACAGTCGGACTTGGCTGTGAACAACACTTCCTGAGTAGGCAGGAGCATCGCTTTTGTTGATCGGTGCCTTTTGTGGAAAACAGGTCGACACGAGCGGGTTCGCTTCTCTCATATTGTTTTCATACTCTTGTATTTATTACAATGGACGGCTTCCTACACGACCCGCGCTTCTACGACGCCCTGTCGCTGGTAAAGGGCTTCCGCAATGGCCTGGTATACGGAGCCAAGATCCGCTTTCCTCACGCGCTGGTGATGACGCTGCTGTTCAGGAGCGGCAGCCTCCAGTCAAAGCTGGCTGGGGTCCTGAAGGCAACCAGGGAGCATGCCCGGGGGCTAGCATTCTATGTGTTGATATACAAGGTGCTCATGCTCCTGCAGCGGAGCCTGACGCCCAACGGCAAGAACCGAGACCTACATGCGTTCATTGCGGGCGCGGCCGGCGGCTACTACATGTTTGGCAAGAACACGAGCGTGAACCACCAGATTGTGCTCTACGCATTCTCCCGCACCTTCATGGGCCTGGTCAACTTTATCGCCAAGGAAGGCCTTGTCAAGGGCCCGTCCAACTCGTTTGCCCTGTTTGCTGCGCTCAGCTGGGGCGGAGCCATGATTCTGTTCCACCGGGACAAGTCGGTGCTTCAAAGGTCACTGCAGACCTCGATGACATACCTCTACGAGGACTCGAACCGGTGGACGTCGCTAAAGACGTTGCTCTGGCACAACAAGTAGAGTGCAGGCCCCCAACACGTGTTTACATTTTCCGAATCTTGGTATATGCAAACCTTTACGTATTTATGCATCGTGCCTGGCTAGTTCCAGGCCAGGGGTGCGAGTAAACAGCTGCCGGGCAGTAGCTGGCCGCAAGAGGAGCTCGAGCCACACCGTGCAGGGTGCGCCATATTGTCGGTGCAGGGAGGCACGTCCCTTGCATTATGTACATAGAAAGGGCCACGTTTCGCCACAACAGCCCAGAGTCAAAGCACAATGGCCCAGCCGCACAAGTGGTATATTCCTAAATTATTTTTAAACAGAATGATTCTGCATCTTTGATTGCAGGTTGAACGACAGTTTGGCCGAGTGGTTAAGGCGATGGCCTGCTAAGCCATTATCCGTTTGGATGCGCAGGTTCGAATCCTGCAGCTGTCGATTTTTTTGTCATTTTTTTGGCCTGTCACGCTTGGGCCGTGGTGTCTTTTGCGTCGCTCATTTTATTACAGTGAACTTGTGCGGGGTGTTTTTTTGCCGGCCGACTTATCTTGGGAGGGGGGGCTTCCGAGAATAGCCGCGGCGATTACTTTTCATAAGCCGCAGCGGGATCCGTCAGGCTGCCGCGCCGAGGTTATAAACACTGGGCAAAGTCATATGCGACCGGACCGCGCGGCGGCTCCGAAGCCGCGATCGACCCAGGCAGGTGTGGGCTGTTCTTCGCGCAGGGTGGGGGATGTGCCAGCATGTTCGGCCGACGATCACTTTTGTCTATCTGCGGAAGACGCAGTACCGCAATGGCATGAACTGCAGGAGAATGTCGCTCTCACGGCGCCTTGATGAAGCACCTATTCCCGCAGCACCGACTGTTGTGTGCAGGTTACAGACCGCAGGGGTGGCTTATGACTTCCTACCTGGGAAGTAGCTCCCGGCGGTGGATGTCCATGCGCGATCGGCGCGACGCTGGGGACTGCGCACGCACGGTACAAATCGGGAGCCGCACTTGCCTTTTCTTTTGGTTCTCCGCCAAGGACAGAGCCGGATAGGCCTCGTCTCGGATCGTTATTTTTGTTTTCAGGAAGGATATTGCATGATGATTTGTCGGCCGAGCCAAGAAAAGAGCAAACCAGAAAACCGGCCTCATTGTTTTTGCGGACGAGGCGCGTTGCCGCCGCCGGGAGTGCTCATTCCTGATCCCCCCCGACGCCCTTTATTTGCTCGTTCCACCTCGCCACCGCCATCGTCCCAGCCAGAGCCCCACCCATTTGCATGTGGGTCGGCGCTGCCTTCCTCGCTTGCCCGAGGCGCGGGCATCCTTTCCTCGTGGCGCTCCGCCGGGGAGGTATAAAAGGCGGAACGCCTGTCCTCGGCCTGGCATTTCCGAACACAAATCATCCGCCTTCCATTGTTTATCCAGCACACTCACGCCACAGGTAGGTTCTCTCTTTCCCCCCTGCCATCGTCCCACCAATAATTGGGCAGGCCTCACTGGGCGGTTCCTTGCTGCGGGCTACCATCTGATGACTGGAGGGGGGATTCTCCACATGTACAAGGGCAATCGGGGGAAGGGCGGCTACTGATTATTTCTCTTGACTCTCCCCCACTTTTTACTATAGCCAGCACATTGCCATGGTTGCTACACCTTCTGCGGGGCAGCACCCTGCCCGCCATGACCAGCTGGTCCGGGACGACAGCGACTTCAAGCGGAGACATTGCAGCGTCTCGGTGGAGTTTGATCTGCACAAGACAAACCTTGCCCGGACATCAAAGACATTCCATGTGGTTATTATCGGCGGATCGTTTGCCGGGATCCGGGCCGCACAAGAGCTAGAGAACCTGCTGTACCCACACATGGTTACGATTACGGTTATCGAGCGGCGAGACCAGTACTTTTACAACCTAGGTGGGCTGCGGTCAATGGCCAAGGAAGAGCTGATCGATCTGGTGTGGCTTCCCTACGACAAAATCTTCCAGTACCCTCACAACCGAGTGATAAAGGGCGAGGTCGTGTCTGTACATCCCAACTCGGTCATTCTGAAGGACGGCAACAAGGTCGATTTTGACGCGCTGCTGGTGTCCTCAGGGTCGGTGTACCCCGCGCCGTGCAAGATCGAGTCCACGTCGCATCTCCAAGGAAAGGCCGAGCAGCGGGCCTATTTCCATATGGTCAAGGCGGCCGATTCAATTCTGATCATTGGCGGCGGGCCAACAGGAGTGGGCCTGGCCGCAGAGATCGCGACACAGTACCCATCAAAGACCATCATCCTGGCACACGCGGGCCCGCGGCTGCTGTCGATCGAAAACAACAGCGAGTCAATGTCCCGCAAGGCCCACAAGAAGCTGCGGTCGCTGGGCGTCCAGGTTTTCCTCAACGAGCGAGTGCTTATTCCCGAGGACGGCCCTCTGAAGCAAGGCATCGAGTGTCGCTGGCTCAAGACGAGCCGGGGCCGCAAGCTGTTCTCGAACCTGCAGTTCCTGTGCAACGGGATCTCGTTCGAGACGTCGTTCATGGACTCGCTAGATCCTGTACGCAAATACCGGATTATCGATGCCAAGACTCGCCAGATCCATGTGCTTCCGACGCTACAGATCAACCACCCAGAGCTGCCCTGGATCTTCTCAGCGGGCGATGTGTGCGACACTGAGGGCGAGAAGCAGGCCTATCGCGCAGACAGCCAGGGTGCACATGTTGCGCGCAGCATGGCGCGCATGGCAGAGGCGTGGGCACACGGCAACCCCCGCTGGTTCAGCGTGCCGCTCAAGCAGTGGAGCGACCCGGCACAGTTTATGGCCGTGCCGCTAGGTCCCAATGCCGGCGTCACCGATACGCCCTGGATTGTACTCGGCGACCTGCCCACGCGCATCATGAAGAGCCGCGAGCTGTTCCTGGCCCGCCGCTACAGGGAGTTCAATCTCGAGTTCCCGGGAGCAAGCCGCCCCCGCCGCGATAGTATAAGCAGCAGCAGAAGTGCGGCCAGCATCATCAGCAGTAGCGCTGCTAGTTCATCATCCGACGTGGCCCACCATGCACATATACGCGCGGCGTCCAGCACTAACAGCGGCGTTCCCACTGACCTTCGTGGCGCCTCATACGACCTTTCCCGGGCCATGACCAGGATGGCTATTGCCACTGCTGAAAACTTGGATGAAAAGTTCCACAGCGACCGTGTATCTCTCAGCCGCCCCCAGATGAAGCGTGGCGGCTCGGGCGGGCGTCCTCGCCCGCTTCAGCAACTGCCCGAGGTCGACAACGAGCCCGAGTCTGACGATGACGAGCCCGTCAGCCCTGCGCAGCTCTACGCCCAGACCGCCCCAAGCAGCCGCTATATTGTAAGCAGCGGCAACAACAGCAGCAACCACTCCCAAAAGATGTTCAAGGCCCCCAATGCGTCCAGCGCCTCGGTCAGTTCTTCGGGCACTAGCTCGTCGGGGGGATCGCGAGCTCCCAGCATGACGTCGACGCTGCTCTACGGCCCCGTCATCCCCCGCCAGGGCGCCAAGGACTCCAAGAACGTGGCCGCCACGCCTTCCTTCTTCAAGTCGTGCGAGGCCATCAACGGGTATCCTCTCGAAGAAGAAGAAGAAGAGATCCCTCCGCTGTCACGCAACCGCCCAACTGCAGTGTACACTCGCCACGTCACGCCAGCCGGACTGGCCGCGAATGGATTCTAAAATTTTAATTATCTAAAAGCTATTATCGGGGAATTCAAGTGCGAGCCTTCCAAGACATTGTCT